TTGCATTAAGATTTTAATTTAAAATTACCAAATTTATAAATTTCCTAATTTATCTATTGATTTGTAGTTAATATTGGTTCTCACAGTTACCACAAATAACTCAGTTCTCCCTTTAATAAACCCCTATATATATATATATATATATATATATATATATATATATATATAAGAAATGGTAAAAATACTCTTATATTGTGTGAATGTTGTTTTATACTGTGAACAATATAAGAGTACATTTACATGTCATGGATTGCGATATATGATTAATTATGGTAAAACATGTTATACATGTTCTCTCTGAATCTCTTCCCATTACATACACATGACTTCGAGCTGGGTTTAATAACCAATCCGAAAACCGGACCTTTTAAAAAAAGAAACCTTGGCTATCAATGGTCAAAAAACTTTATCTAATTCGGATAAAATCTATAAGCAACTAGAGATGACAATAGGGTCAGGGATGCTGGAGATTGCAATCCCCATCCCCATCGGGGAACAAGATTTATTTGCCATTCCCACAGTGGAACGGGTATCCCCATCAGGAAATCGCAGGTTTTTCCACATTTACAAAAAAAAAATCTATGTCAATTTCATTTAGTAAAATTTTTAATGGTCACATTTGTAAAAGTAATTAAAAAATAAATATATCGATTACAATAACTAGTAATTGAAATTTTATGCATCCATGTTATTATATTACGAGAAGTTTCTCCAAACAATCAAACAAGTACTATAACATCTTTTGAAAGTTTTCCTATCATCGAAGATTGATTATGTTTATTGTATTCATGTGTTATATATACTCATTGGATATATCATTTTATTATATTATACATAGGGTTGGGTTCCAAAAAGAATGGAACTTATGGTGAAAAGAGTAAGAACTAAGGGATATCCACCCTTTAATCAATCCTAATTGAAAATCAACACTAATGAGGTGAAGCGAGATGCACCGGATCAATTCTCGTGATAAGCACAATTCATGGATGGATCAAATGGTTCAGTTCTCTTCTTACGCTTCTCACCTTAACTCATATTCTCATACGATCCTTCCTCATTATAAACATATGCATATATATATATATATATATATATATATATATATATATATATATATAAACTTGCTATAAAATAATCGGTCCCAAGGTGCAAGGGTCTAACCATCCCCAGTCAACTCAGGGATTCCCCAATCAATCCGGATTCGGGTATCGAATACAGTTTTCTTTTGCAACCCAGTTTTTGTGCTTTTATGCATACGGCCAAATACAATACCTTTTTGAAGTCCTTAATTAAGCCTCAACAAGTGACATTACAACTGCGTTTTGTTCCGAAAAGTAAAAGTTGGACCAAACCAAAGCCAGCAGGCCTAACCATTCCTTGGGCCGAGGCTAGTTTGTTCACTCTTCAAAATAAGACCAAACCAACGCCAGCAGGCCTAAAGTCCTTTTGGTTGTCGTTTTTGTCTCTATGGTTTAATTTAGGGGCCGTTTACCAAACGCTTACCCGATTAACGCTTATCAAGTCACATTACCTTACCGGAGGAATATGATAAAGACCAAGAATCTTACCCAGTAAGAGTGAGACAAGGACCAAGAGTCTTACCCGGTAAGTGAAGGCGACAACTCTTACCATGGTAAGTGCTTACCAGGTAAATTGTTGCATACGATGTCATTTTGGTGGACTAAAATCTTATTCGACAAGTAAATGATAGTGTTAAATTTTACGGGTAAGTGCTTACCAGGTAAGTGTTTGGTAAACGGCCCCTTATTGTTTTTTAATCCCCCTGGTAGAAATTAGCCTTGTAGACAAAAATAGCAATGATGTTGCAAACCATAGGCACGAAAACCATAATTTCAAAACCACAAGGATGAAATCCGCAATTTTTAACAAACCATAGAGACAAAAAAGGTAATTTACTCTTATTATCAAAAATCACTATTGCAAACTAAACATCATCATACTTGATAAAAAATATAAAATTTTAAATAAAAATATAAAATCAGATAAGGTATTTCAAGAACCGACAATTCTTTGTAATGAATACTCGAATACAACTATACTGATGCAGTTGGCTTCCAAAATCTAGTAGATGAGAGTTGGAAATGGAGATCATAAGAGGGCCTCGTATTATAGTTTCATGATATACTTTTGCCTACAACTACTAGTAATTTTATTCATGAACAAAATAATTAAAGTTGACCCAGAAACAAATCCAGCAGATATCAGATCTTATAAATTGTTAAAAGTTACTGATGCATATATTATCTTAGAAGAAGAGAAAAGAATGTTTGTGAACCACCTAACAACATGTCGGGATTTGATTACCTATCATCGCTCGTAATAGTATTAGATATAGGATTAGGAATAGGTTTAGGATTAGGGTTAGGATTAAGATTAGGATCTATCATGTATTGGGTTTGGTATTGTTCCAGTATCATGTTACAGTTATTTAAGGTTCGCGACTCCACAAGACCATGATTCCAAATTTTAATCATGAATAGTCTCCAGCACCTGCCAATACCATCCACACTTGTCATTATATACCTCCAAACAATAACTTGCAACTTGTAATTCTTACAAATGAATTCCTAAATGTCTCAAAATTATTTGTATATGTTCCTAAATGGCCAAAACCTTAATGGTCTAAATATTCCTTTCACCTGCCAGGATAAGAGCAAGACAGCTAAACTAAATGATATGCCAAAAGTATCTTTGTTCAAAACCGTCAACGTGTAAGATGTAAGTGCGTTATCAGCTTTTCATCAGCTTGTAAGTTGTGTGATTTGCAGGATTCCTAGGTGCAAGTGTTTTCAAATCTGATTATGTATGAATCGTGCTAAAGGCTAATAAGAGTTATAGCTAAATACTAATCTGATTAATTAATGGGTAATTTCAAACACAGGCAGAACTATGTGCTATGACCAAACGATACGCGGGTTACCCATAGAACGCAACCTCTCGGGAGGTCAAGGTTCAAACCACACCAAAAGATGAGGAGTGTGCGTGAGTATATTTCGTATATAAATATTATAATATACTTCAAAAAGAAAAAGAAAATATAAAGTATATAATAGATGGAAGACAAAAGAGTACCAGAGCAGTGATGGGGACTGAACAAGGTCTGGTCCATGCAATTTTGAAAATGCCTCACATGCCCAAGGAATATGGCCATCTGCCAGCACCCTGATACCATCATACACAAACAAATTTCAAGCACTTGCTATATTTGAAACCAAAATCATGTACACTTGTTATTTAATTCAATTGACTTGTGTGTGTGTGTTGGAGGGGGTTGAGGGAGTGTCACATAATGGAGATTAAATTACCGTTGCTTTCTCACAAACGAGTTCCACAGATGCATCATTTGCTTCTCGTCTTTTGAAACATCCACAAAGTCATCAAGCATCTGTTGTCAATAATTGTTAATTTAACTGCATTAATGAAGATCCTGTTCTTTAGGAAGCACTGCTATTGGATTTCTAGGTCAATGCATGCTACATGGACTTATAAGGTGTTTCAGTTGGGTGTACTTAAAGTAAGTTCAGTATGAGGTGTTAAAAGAACTGAACAAGCCATTGTATGACTTGAAACAATCACCATACAACAGGTTTAACTCATGTATGCTTAAAAGTGGTTATTATTGAAGCATAAAGGATGTCTAATTAAGTTTCAACTTCATTAAACGGACATGGTCTTCAAAGAAAAACTGATACTTGCAAACATTGGCATCCATTCATACAATTGCAAAGTGCTGTCACATGCACACCCAAGAAAGTAAGAATGGAAGTAAATATCATAAATCTAAGGTCAGAGCAGAAACAGGACATACCCTTCTGTCTTCGAGATCAGCAACATCATCATCAACTTCATCTTCACTATCTCGCTCAGCAAACACTTGCTCCAAGGCCATTGGCTTTTAAACCCAAAAAAAAACAGTAATAATAACTACAAAAGTAGATGGTGGATGCAAAATTACTTCTACCAACAGAAAAGAGAAACCGGATTATCCTACTGACTATGTAAAGAACTTGACCAACTTGAAAAATGCAAAAATGAAGCAGAATTGAATAATGAAGAAAAGCAGCCCAATGTTGAATCTCACCACCCTCCCCCCAAATAATAGCCAACATAAATGATTAGACAAGACCATATTTGATAAAATAAAAAACAAAAAGAAAATGGAAGGTAACCTGAGCTCTGTGCGAGTGAAAGAACTGCCGTTTCTGCAACAGAGCTCGGCTGCAATAAGCAAAATAAGAGATATATAAATGGCTGCATATCTAAAATATACCATTTCTTCATGTATCACCATCATTTTACACTCAATTGATAACCAAAATGACACCTAGTCTAGTAAGGTAATGCACAACCTTTTAACCAGAGAAAAACCCAACGCATAAATAGGTCGCGGTGGCAATGTATATCAACAACCAGAATGGATTGATTCCCTATAGTCAAAGTGCTTCTTCAAAATTATGTAGGTAGGTTATGCTTAACTATCTTATTGTTGGGACTTATGTATAGCAAAATGCAGTGCCAGACGATCTAAGTAGACATACAGAAAAGTGGTACACAAAGTCTTGTAATACAGCAATTCAAAAGACAAAACAAAAGGGTGAAGAAAGAAAGACAAGTATATACTTTCTAGGGTCAGATCGTTCAATGGATAACTTTCTTGTCTTCGCAAATTGTAGCATAGCAGGAGGTCCAAGGTTGCTTCCAGGCACTGATTGGACAGACTCTGGTTCAGCAAATGAATGACCAGTGGCACTTGCATCAGGACTATATGTATCACGTTCCATGCATTCAGGTACACCTAGAATCAAGCAAACACCAGCAAATCTAAATTTCCCCTTTTTACCTCTTGCGGAATATCATTTAAACAAGTAGTCACTTATCCACTTCTATAGACCAAAAACAACTCATGCATTGTATGATCGGATAAACAAGAATCAGCAAACTTAAAACGTCTAGAGAAAAAATCTATAAGATTGACACGAGTCTTAATTGGTTATAGAAAAGGAGTAAACGAATTTCCATGGTCAGCAGAACTCTACAACAATCTGTATTAGAACCTTAGTTAAAAACACCTCAATAAGATCATAACCTAAAGATTGGCTATACAGCAAGAAAAAACATTGGCTCTTCACAGTTAATGCCATAACCAATAGCACAATTAAATAACAATCATATTCTTAGCTTTAACAACTAAAGCAGAAATTTCTATTATTAAAAGCATTCTTGAAAGATATTTTGCATGTTCAGAAAAAAGCTAATAAAAAAGGTTGTCAGCATCCAGAGATATGTAGAAACCAGACAAAAGAGAAGTCATACAATCTGTATTGTCTATGAGCTCAGTGAGATTTGCAGGCATAGCTGAATCCAGCACAAGCGGATGCACATGATTAGCATTTTGAGTTAAGCACTTTGGTTTCCTGCGTCTCGCGGACTTATAGCTGTAGAAAGTGGTTGACAGACATATAAGCCAGCATACAGTGGAATTAATCATCTCTGAAGTCAAGAAGATTAAAAAAGCGAAAAACTTACCAATAGAAAAACATTTGCTGCTTAGGATCAACATTGTCAGGAATTATCTGAGATGCATATATTTTCCAGAAAAAAGTGTTAAACAAGAAAAATACAACAATTTACTCAATTAAAATTGAAATAAATCACAAAAAGGGCATAATAAGTTTATGAGGAGTGTAGCCATAACAGCAGGGCAACAGAAGGGGAAGTGCCAATTTCCTATCATGGTCCAGCTTTGATTTAATCAGAGGAATATGAACCATCCACTTAAACCTAAAGCCTTGTCATCGCAAATGTGAGGTTAATAGAGCAAAGCATCATCCTAGCACCTTGCAAACAAAAGCAACTGCCACTATATGCAACTGAACAGGAGCAAGTCCATAAATTATACGTCTAAGAATACATGTGATGTTAAAGAAAATATAAATTTTTTGGTTCATGTCTTTTAAAATGAACTTTGCGTATGCATTCTAGAATACCAAAAAATAATATCCTGCCACCAAGGAAGTTATATGCTAACCTCGGAATTGCATACATCAGTCCTCATAGATACAATCACGACTTGATAATCTTCAGTCACCTACATGATATTAAGAGTATTATGATGTAACTATTCCAGTCAAACATAGCAACAAGAACTGTGCCAGATTCATAAAATTTACGAACCCAAAACTCATAGTGGAAGAGATCATGTGATGAAGTCAAGTGAAATCTCAGACCCTAAAAGACATCAGAGGTATTAAATCGACAATCACACAAAATGCAGGTAACAGAAGTGAATGTTAGTAAATGATACACACTGAAGTCAGAGCCATATCTACCTTGTAACTTGCACATTTCACCAGACAGAATGGACAAGAAAAATCCTCTGTAACTGCAGATTTGGAGCATGCATGAATTTTACAAAAGTAAAAGCATCAGAAATGAAAAACATAAATGAAGAGACGGCAAGGCTTCAACTATATATAACAACCTTTTGTTCTTTTAGATAGCAAGAAAGTTAAATGTTCCTATTAAAATTCAAACAATTACACCCATTTGCCATTGCAAATCTTCCAAACCAAAACACCAGTTTTAAACATGTCATGACTTGAGACAAAATTTCAGTGCAAAAGATCTCTGAGCAGAAAATGCAGTAAAAGAAAAAGAAAAGAGACACTAAATCGTAATCTTGCATACACACTAAATCATCATGCAATAATAAGGCAATTAGGTAAATAAACTTGGATAGTAATCTGAAGCACAAGCAATTCGTGATGATATATACATATATATATGGGTGTGTTTCTTACCTAATTTGTATTTGCATCCTTAATATCATGATAAGAAGTAAGCAAAAAGGTCTTCTGCCTTTTGGTATGAGCTAATTCCCGGCTTTACCTTTAAGTCGTTTTGATATTTTTTTCCTTCTTCCATAAACTTCAACATCAAGAAGAATATGTTTAGGGAAGACAACAGGTGATTGATCGAGCACATAATTTGCAATACATCATACCCTCCCCAAACCCTACCTCTAGGTGGGATATACCGGGTACGTTAGGTTTGGCTTGGATTGGTTTGGTCACTTCATGAACAGTGGCTCTTTAAATGGAGAATCCCGATAAACAATATTTAAGTAAGTTCAGAAAGCAAAACATGTTTTACAGCCACAAACAATGTATTCTGCATCGACGGAAGTAAATATATCATTAGCATTGAAGCATGCATCTATCATGATAGGGAAAAGTGTGGAGTCAAGAAATCCATGTACCTTCAGTCCTCTGCAACATATTGTTGTAGTACTTGTAGTTAAAAATGACATTTCCAGATCTCAACCTGACAGCAGAAGAAGCCCAACATGTAATTGCAAAAGCAAAAACGGCGACCACAAGAGGAAAGATAGACAGAACCAAACAGATGAATACTTTGGTAGGAGTTGATATACCGACACACTTTTATGTCGTACAAGTGCATGTGTGAAAACAAAACTAACTCAAGAATTTATAACCCTATCTTACAACAAAGTACTCCCTCTGTCCCAAAATAAATGTCCACAATAAAAATGCACATGGTTTTAGAAATATATAATGATTACACTTTTTAATTAATCGAATGACAATTTTTTACCTTAATAGTTATTAACTTTTAATGACAATTGTGTCTCCATCTCATTAATATTTGTGCATCATAATTAAGGGTAGAATTGGAAATTTTGTAAATTATGACTATCTATTTTTGAAAGTGGAAACTTATTTTGGGACAAACTTAAATAAAAATATGGACTCATCTTGGGACGGAGGTAGTATTAAGGTTTCTATTTAGGCAATCTAAAAAGAAATAAGATCGACTTCTTTAACCTGCCAACTATTCCAGATAAGAGGCTTTGTAACATGACAGATTACATGTGAAACTAGAAGAAACAGGTTTGAGATAACCAGTTAACCACACTAACACATTTCGTCAGGCCTGAAGGAGGTGCCACAAAAATTAGGCTCCTTCCTCTCTATCATTTTCCTCCATTTCCTGTTTTCATTTTCCGGGTCAGGCTGGAGGACCCTCAGAATGAAGACAGAGGAAGAAAGTGGATTTTTAACAAGTACCCAGTCAAGCAATTCAAAATGGAGGGGCGATAGATGTTAAATATATATCATCTAGTGAAACCATTCATGGCAGGAACCACCACTCAAACTCATTTGGAAATTTAAGGAGCTAGCAAATACACAAGTAAATGCAGACATGCCCAATGGTGAGAAATACAAAAGAATAGTGAAATGAACATGCAATATAGAAAACATAAGTGTCGAACGAATAATGTTAACTACCTCATAATACCAGGTCTAGGAGTATCGTTGTATGAATACATGTCATAGGGCGACATATTTTTTACCCCAGCCTCTTCTGCACAAATGATGACTGGTACTTGCTGCAATACACTCTTTGCCAACCATAAAATGAAATTGAGCAGTAGGAACATAATCATTAATTAAGCTAAAAAAAGCATTTCTGCAATAATGCAAAGGGTTGAGATCAAACATACCAGAGCTTCAGAATTATACGGAAAATGAAAAGATACACATTTTCCCCCATCCAAACAACTCAACTGCAAAATCGAACCCTTCGTGAAAATGAGAAATGGGAATGTAGAAGACAGAGAAGCGAAAAGATAAACCAGCCCCTAGTTCGTTAATTTGCATGGTAACACGTGTATACTATAAATACTAGAGAGAGAGGTGAGATTGCCAATTAGTAACCCCCAGGATCCATAAGAGTTGCTTGTTAAGCTTCAAAACTTGGAACACAAATAACACATAATAGCCTTCATCTCACACTCAAGTCCCATCATTGCAATGCAATAACAACCTAACAAATATGTTTCAATTTTTTATCCTCTTCCCATTGTTAAATCCAGTCACCATAATCAGCCATTTTAAGATTTGCTCAAATCGGTAGGAAAATTGTTAAGTAGGAGCAAAAGAACTACTACAGAAACTAAAGATTTAGTAAAGCTACTTTTTTTAGAGAGGCAGTTTAGATAAAGCTACTTGTCTGCTAGAACATTTCTAGAAGGAACCTGGAGAAGTGAAATGAACTCTAGTTCACGAATTATGTGAACATAGCTTTAGAAACAGAATCAGAATATCATGATTTAGAGTGAAAATACTAAACAATCATATTTCTGTGCCTTAAAAACATTCCATAAAATGAATATAAACAGTATATCACCATCTAAAGTCATGAAAAGCCTCTTCACAATTCACAAATATGCAAGGAAAATTTGTTTACAATGACTTCTCCTACAAACCATAGCAAAGCCAAGGAGCCTTTGTGCACACAATGTGCCCCTTTCTCTATGTATGATTTATAAATCACATGCAAAAGATGATAAAAATTCAAATTATAATTTGAATTAGAACACCTAATAAGATACGTCTTTTCAAAGAGAGAAAAGAAGAAAATGCTAAATTCAACATAGGAAATATCCCTAATGACTTCACTTTATTACATTTAGCCTAGAACAACACTAACTAGGCAAGTGATTGGCAACACAATACCTTGCGAACATATGTGCTTTACAAATAAAATGCAGAAAGTGTTTTGTAGATTTTCACTTTAAGCATTCTTCACCAGTTCTACTTGATCCCTAGTTTTTATACACACAGCAAGCATACCTTCATATAGCAGGTTTGCATAATAACTGTTGAGATCATCTCAGCTCTCCCTCCTAAACTTAATGTTGGAGATGCTTGCCATGACGAATGAAGTAAATCTATTGGAATCTTCCCAAACGAGCAGTAACCCACACGGCTCACTGTCAAATATGTATAAAGTGTAGATCAAAATTCAATCACAATATAAAGAAAATTGAAAGTCAATTCATGCCTCCATGTCATATATGCTGTGTCATCTGCAGAGTTCATAGAATTCAGACAGACAGTAGCAGGGACCCCAATCACTTTCTAAATTTTGGTATAAGATATTAACATTGTATAATTTAGTGGGAACCCTGTCAGACTCAATGATGGGTTTGAACAACGAGGTTGCGTCCACACATTCTCCATATAATGTTGGCCATCATCAACCCACTTAAATCCCGGCGACTATATCAATCTGAGTTAACAACATCAAATCCAACATTCACCGGCATCAAGAATAGCAAAAAACACATTAAATTAACAACTACGTTCTCCAGCAACGGAACTTTTTAGGTAACATCCATTTTACAGTTTATTATTCCTTCACACACCATCACCCACCTTCACATACTTACTAGTATCACCATGACTAAAACCATAACAGATTCATGCATGTGAAGGTGACTCAAGTTATGTGAAGGTATCTAATTGACAAAAATACTTTTCCTGTACAAATTAGGTCCTTGATACAAATCGTAGGATCAAAATTGATCAAATGATGAAATGTATTCTAACAGTTATCGTCAACCTCAATAATGCTTACATGATCCCAACTCTCTCTCTCTCTCTCTCTCTCTCTCTCTATATATATATATATATATATATATATATCATGTGAGAAATTTTCATTTTCTTGAGAAGATACCTTTATATTGTGTGAAGATTAACATTCACATCACCTTCAACTGTGTATTGGAAGGTTACATTATATTGTGTGAACGTTGTAACCTTCACACAATATAAGGATACCTTCAATTTTTCTCACATTCTCACAAAAAGGGGTTGGTCTCACCGGAACGCAACCTATATATATATATATAGAGAGAGAGAGAGAGAGAGAGGACAAATCATACAAACCATGGAAAGATTACAAACCAAACTCAACCATCCATCTAGTCTAACGAATATCTGGTATCATAAATATATTGATTGTTTCGTGATACAAAGCGTTGATCATAATTAATGAACTCTAATCATCTTCCATAAATATTCAAATCATAACAAATGAACCATCATTGGTTTGTATCATTTGTAACTTTTCCATGGTTTGTATTTGATTTGTCCTATATATATATATATATATATATATATTCTACTAAGAAAGGCATGAAGGGAGTGAAAAGGAGTTTGTTAGGAGCTGATAGTTACAACATAACATGAGATATTACACAATAAAGCAATGATGATGCCTCTCGAGGCTCCCCGTTTGAGTTCATTTTTATTATTTATTGACCACGATTCAGAGGAGAACACCTAGAACAGCACATGCCTTTGTGGTTTCATGCATCATAATAGTAATGTCAATGATTACATGCATTTAACTGAAGACACATCAGAATAAAACTAGAAAATTACATCTCAACTCACTTTGAACAGGGTTAGAAAGTAAAAGTAACACTATAACATTGCAACTGGCATTCTGGATAACTTAAAGGAGTCTTATCACTTATCATGATTGATGCCTTAAAGATCAAGTAGTAAAACGATTTCACATCTTACATGAGGTGGAAAACATATGGTCCTCTGTTAGATCAATCCCTTCAAGATTTGTGGTATCAGCTGCAACAGAGTTCAAAATTTACAACTGTAACAAATATAACACAATAAAGCATGAAAAGCAAACATAATTCTCAGATGTAACCAAGCTTGGAGACAACAGTCATACCACATCTAACCAACAACACAGCAAGAGAGCCAGATTTGACCTCCATTGATAGTTTGCTCATTTCAGGGAGAATAAATTTTGCTCGAGCTGAACTTGACGTCTCATCCCCACCAAAAACCATTAATTTACATACTCGACTGAAGCGATAAACAGCTGTACACTGTGTCTAGAATTCAGAAACAGTGCCCATTTGGCATCAGAGAAAGCAGGCAAAAGTAAGAAAATAAATCATGAAAAGTAACAGAAGGATTCAACCAAAAAGTAAAATTCATAGCAATACCTCCACATTTGTAGTAGAGACCAGTCTTGCCAACAAAATGTACAAAGGAAAAAGGCTCTGAGTTTGTGGTCCATCATTAGTAGCACCAGATATGGATACTGAAATTTGTATCCTACAAGATGCAAAAGCAAGACAAGCATCATCAGAAAACTGTATAGGCCATAATCAACCAAGAGATTAAGCTCCAACAAATAAATAAGTATCGAAAAGCAGAACTTTTTAGAGGCAGAACTCAAATGTCGAGATAAATAATGATTTTATGCTAACATATTTGGTATAGGCCATAAATCAACCAAGGAGAAGTAAGCCCCTACATCTGATAGCTGTAACAGGCTTTCTTACAGAGAAATGCTCATTCAAACTGAAAGGTAAGTTCCAAAGCATTAAAACTATATGTTCTACATTTTTAGATTGATCATGCAACCTAGCAGAGGTGAACTATGTGGGACGAAGTGGCAAGCATTCCCAGAAATGGGAACAAAGAAAAATGGTAAAACAAACCATGAAGATTCGTTTTTATCTTTTAGTGTTTCCATGTTCTCCAAATAGTATTAGGGTCTCCTTACATTTAAGTTAGATGTTTTGTGTAACATTAGGCATGGTGTTCAAGAAAACTTTGTATTTATTTGGTGTGAACCCTAAAAACCTACTTATGTCCATTGTTTTTTAGAAATCCTTCGTATTTCGGCTTTCGTCCTGCATCGATTAGCATGTTATGCGCATATAAGCAATTATACATTCATCATATGTTATATATAACCATAAAAAGTGAGCAAAGTTATTAGACTTTTATTGTATCTAACGACACCTCCACCTAATGTGTAATGAAGCATGTTCCATCCTTGCTTCATAACCACTTGAAATGTATATCAAGAATATTTTTCACAACCATATTTGCCAAGAGATTACATCGTAATCATAATTTCACATGGAAAGTTCTACCTAGGGATAGGATAATTAGGAGGAACCATCAAGTAAAAAAAAGCACTAGATCATCCTTCAAGAAGAGGCATCCAACCCATTCTTGATTCCATTTTTGTTTTTTCGTCAAGTCTAATATATTTTAAGTTTTCAGTTATCATGTGTTTTGGATTCTATGCATGTTTTGCTTGGAAAGTAGGCATTAACCAATCGTGCCACCAAGAAAAAGAATGTTAGAAGATTGATAAAATGTAAAATATTAATTTAAAAACATGACACGAATCGACAAAACCGGCTTACTTTCAAAAGGTAAGTGTCTCTCCACAATGTCAAATCTAATTTGTAGTAATTTTTCAATCAAATTAAGCACAGTAATCTACTTTCCTTGATCCCTATTTATATAATTTTAGGTGGAAGTCCATAAATATTTTAGTGTCTTTTGCCTTTATGAATCTCAGTTCCTCCCCCTTCTGACTCCACTTCAATAAAATCAACTCCCTGACCTTCCTCATTGTCTACTAAGAGGATTTGTGAGACATGAGGAGCAACAACACTCTCAAGCAATCTTCTCGTCGCATTTGAAGCGCAAACCCTTGGCCTTCCCTCCTCTAATTATGCCTTCGTCATTCTTATAGTTTCCTATTCAGGCAATGCTATCACTTGAGGAAACGCCTCCTTAGTTAATTCTAGGGTTGTGCAAAAGTCGGTTCAAAATTGCCCCTCGAGAATCTCCATGCCTAGTCCTTCAGTCTCCATAGTAGTTCTTAGCACACAAGGTTCTCCGATCCCCTTGAAATTTCCCCATATAAATCTCTTAGTTGGGCCCAAAATTAAACTTTTAATTGAGAATTTGGTCATAAAACTGATGTCCAAAATGAATCCCGTCCGTCCCATTGTTTTCACTAATATGATGATACTCATAATCCTCAAAAACCATCCAATCCCTAAGCCCTTCACGCATCACATTCATGCTATTGGCCCAAAGGGGTCCTATCTTTATTTCCCAATTTAAAATCATTGTGATTTCCCCCAACACACTTATGACCTTTGTACGATTGTTGTCTCCCAATCCTGCAACACATGAACCATCGGTTACCCTCAAGTGACCTTATAGATGTTGCCTTGGCTGCCATGGCCATCGACATACCCTTGTCACATGTGTCCATCTTCAACATTTGGTTCGCCCTAAATGTCAAGCCCTCTGTAGCCATCACCTCCCCTTCATTGTTGGTTGTCGTGCCTCATGGCTCCTCCACCGTTGTTGACGTCCAGATCCTAATTTTATCTTCTCCATCTACAATGACTCATTTTCCGTTGTTGTTCCTTTCCATGTTTCCTCCTCCTTCCTTGTGGGTGCCTTTGATGCCCTTACATGAGCCTCCACTACAGAGCATGATAGTTGTTCCATTGAAGCAAATCGTACCTTGTTCTTGTTTGCCATGTTAGAGAACTTATCTTTATCCCAAAGAACCATTAGAACTGACCTCTTCAATTTCCCTTCAAACTCTTTTGTTGCCAAAGGTATTGAAACATGCTCGGATACAAATTTGATCGAACATAAATAATTAATCAAACAAAAATGATATATAATTGGCAAAACTAGCTTATTTCCAAGAGGGATGCGTCTCTCAACGATGTCTAATCTAATTTCTAATAGTTTCTCAATCAAATTAAGCATACTAATCTACATCCCTTAAAACCTACTTAGATAATTTAACTAACTACAAACCCTCCTTATTGATAAACTAATCCTTATCTATAAAAATTTACACATATCCCTAAATACACCATGAACGGTTCAAACGAAGACATAGTTCTATTGATATAGGGTTTTACCAAGTTTTCCTGTAGAAGACCATGACTTATGTGTTATACGTCAACAATTTTCGTTCTCCTTCATATGAAATCTTTAGGCCGTAAACATTTACCATCTTAGAAATAGGGCATTTCTTAATACATTTTACAAGAATAAAGAGTCATAACCATTGGAGTTTGTAAAATAGGCAGAAAATATTGCTATATCCAGCAGATACATGGCTCTAACAAAGGTGTAGGCTTATAACAAGTTCCTTATAGTGCTAAAAGAATGCCCTGACAATTAAGCATCAAAAGCATTGGAACCAAAAAGATGAAATCTATTCAATGTATTCAATAATGAAAGCAAAACTTATCATCAATACAAATAGAAATGAGTTTTATGTTGCAACTCTCGCCTTCTTTTTTGCTTCGCTTGTAACTTGTAGTGCAAACATCTTTGAAGAAAAGATGGCTGCAAAAAAAATCCACCGGTTAGAAACACAAATTAGAAGTATCCGCACCAAAAACAAGTGGAATAATAGACCCTTTAAACACATCATGGTCATGATATTTTAAAACTTCAAAGGTAGGGATATGACTTGGATCTACATTCAACATTTAAAAGGTCATATGATATCAGCATGTGGCTGAGGAATGTATGACATATAAAAGCTAATAATAGCTGCGACAAGATTTCATTTGGATGCAAACCACTACAAATACATGCAGATAGATGCATGTATTAATTTCAGAACCAGCAAAAAACAAGGTGTTGGACAATATACATCAATCAACCATATCATAAGAGATAAATGAATAGGTAAGTGGAACATGAAAGGAGAAAAAAGAGAAGATATGCAAAATCAGGATGTTCACATTTCTAACAGCACGTCGTTGAAGAATGTTGTATAGTTCTACAGGCTTGCAATAAACTGAAAGGCTTTCTTCTGCTGCAGTTTGTTCTTCCGGAGACAATTGAACTCGAGCTTCATGGCGGCACATTTGATCTGAGCCTCTAGAGTAACTGCAATTGCAAACAGATTTCTTGTTCCATGAATTTGCATAAGACGGATACCCTGTTCATGCACCAGGCAATACATTGCAAGCTTCACAAAGCACGAGGTACTCAAAAGGACAGACAAATAGACGTATACAATGGAATAAGTATTCCCATTCCATGGTTCCCTATAAAGAAAAACTAATAAATACAGCCATAGGAAAAGAAAATAGAAAGGCCAACAGAATCTCACAAACAATCTATAGAATAATCAATCATACAGATAGAGTATATAAAGTAGCCTGAAATGCAAGGTACAGTACGTGGTTTCACGAGCAACTAAAGATATGCCTGGCATTCTTGTTAGACAATGCCAAATTGCAACTCCATAGTTATCTGCAACTCCCCAGGGAAAGTCAGTTTAGGCCCCTGCAGACCTGGATTGAATAACCTAGTGAATTAGTCCTGTTTAAAGCAAATACTTCCCATGAAGGGGAAAATGACCATAACATAATCATTATGTGTTAAAACATTGGTCCTTGATGCCTCTATTTTAATGAGAACACTTCTGTATTATCACTCTTCCTAAGTGGGACAACCGAAGGCCTACGATATAAATGCCTACACTGCTGTGTAACCGATTTTTTCTCAATCTATCTCCCAGTTCCCCCACTTTTATGATACCAAACTTTCTTGTCTCAAAAGTTCATCTTTCCGAGCCTTCCTTTCTGAAAATTATTTATATCTTCTAGTTTTATTATGAAAACGTTGTCGCAAATCATTCTAATAACATAAAACAGAGTAACACATGTGCCTTACAGAAATTTAGTTCTAATAAACTACTAAAGGTCTAATTATCAAGCTTCAACATTCTATACAAATAGATGCAACATGAATTAGATTTACAGGTGCTAACATGATTTTCCACAGATAATGGTGCTAAAGGGTTTCCATTTTGAGACCGTGTAATTAGTGAAGCATTACTCAAGAAACTTACCATATACACTTATGATGAAAACTTAAGCTGGTCGTTATCCTCTTCAAATTATCTCCTTAATTAGTCTGAAAATTTGCATTCTCGTATCAATAAAACTATTTAATGATCAATTAAGTAACGAAAGGGATATCATGTAACGAATCAAACACGAAGTAAAACCATTCTTGGACTGAAAATTTCAATCAAACAGAAAAATATCTACTCTATTCTCCGATATTTGAGCTAAAAACACTACAAACGTCGAATACATAAACCGTTGATCATTATCAATAAGGTATTCGACAAATAGTTAACAAATTGAGCTGTAATTAGCGTAGAAAATCCAAATAAACAAGGAAAAATACCAGATAAGATCATAACCTAGATAGGGATTGCGATAATGAAGATTATTACCTTATATGTTAATAGCCCTAATTTTGTTTGAGAGGGAGAAGGAATGGAAGTTTGGGGAAGACTTTAAAACGCAACGGCGTCTTTCACTACTTTGACGGTGTGATCATGTCACCAAGATTTTGAACAAATATTTATTTTTACTAGAAGCGTACTCGCGCAATGCAGCGAGATACATCGTGTTTTTAATATTTCATTTTATTCTTTATCTCAGTCAATGTTATAATATKRCTTTATGTGATTTTGAGAAAACGATGATGTTTTTATTTTTGAATAAAATATATGTTTGACGATATCATAAAAAWTTGACAAAAATATATCGATATTAGTATCAAATTAACTATTTGAAATTCCTCATTTTTTTTGTGTAACTTTTTAATCCAATTTTTTTATAATTTAATTTATGTACAATAACGAAGTAATTTATATTTGGTTTAATAAAATAATTTTTTATAAAGATAATAATTATTTATTTTGTTGGAACTCGATAATTATTCTAATTATATTTTAGATTTTTTATATTTTAAAATGAGATGTTCATCTT